TAGTGAAGAAGGCTATGACTACCAAGTCCTTGGTGCTACTCGAACTGGCCAAGGAGTTGGCCGCTAAGAAGTGTGACTTGAGTCTCACTCCAGTGGCTTGCGCAACTCCACCAGACGCCAGAGTCTGGTGTCCACTAAGCTGTGGACCACCAACAACTAGTGGATGGACGCTAGGCTGCAGCATACTACTTTCCATACTGCTACTGTTTGGCATTCGTCTCACCTTCCAGGCGTCCCTTCGGATTGACTCACCCCAAAACAGCTGCCCATACCGGACGGTCTCCCCGACCAAAGGAATTCCACTTCCACCATGTCCACTGCTACGATTCACCAAGCCATACTCAGGTGACTGACAGTTATCCCTGGTCAAGGGACCGCTGCCCATCACAAGATTAGGGCTGTTATTACTGTGGCTCGGGCACATAACACTGGCTACTTGGATCGCTAGTACTGTGCATCAGCCTTTGCGTTAACACTCGAACGAGCACCTTGCTCGCCACATGGTCCTCGTACTGCGCGACCATGAGCACGTCCAGGGTCTCCGCCAGAGGCCCTAGAAAATAAGTGACCACTAGGGTGTAACACTTGTGGCTGGTTCGCATGCCCATCCAACACCTGACACACGGGTGTTTCTCTTCATTGCTGTCGAGAAACGCAGTGTTAGCACTTGGGCTAACCTGCTGGTGCAGGTGCAATGGCAGGGCGCTAGACTAAATTCATTTGTTGCCACCACAAGGGGAAAAAAAAAGGGTCCAAAACAAAGGCCTATAACTTTAAAAATTGAAATGCTACAACTATTATGCTGTACAATCTGTGACATACATGCGCTGTCTACTAGAGAATCTCAAATGGCTGCGAAGCATGTACACAACATCACCTGTACTGCAGGACTGTACACAATATCACCTGTACTGCAGCACTAATGATAGAGATAGTCAAGAGCCCCAACCATTCTTTTAATCTGGCGCCCTCAATTTCTTATTCTAGCGAGGGGGGTCCCCCCCAAATTAAACAAGTGCTCGGATTAGTCTACAAGTAATCTAGGGGTCGAATTGCTGGGTTGATGTCATGGGCTCGCCCACCTACACTACCGGATGCAGACCTTTCACCTGCTCCGCTACTACCATCGGTAGCAATAGGGTTACGTACGAGAAGCTGCGAAGTTGTTCGCGCTTGACTCAAGGCGCCTGCGGGTACGGTAAAGAGTGATGTACCAACTGACCTAGGCTGACTGCAATTGATACAGGGAGACATGCACAAATGAATTTCAGCTGCCAGGCACAGAGGTGACTTGCAGGGGGTGTTTCCTAAGCAAAAGGGCTTGTGATTGTGAAGCGGAGGTTGTGCGATTTCTCATGCCGTTCGGGGTCTCAGTACAGCGGCCACATGGCTGCGGCTCATGGCCTTCAAAGCCCTGTGGCTGCTTATGCGCAAAGCTCCAGGTGCTGTGCATGTTTGAAACAGTTTAAAAGCAAGGAGCGTTTGGCGGCGCACCTTGCAAGCTGCACTTCTTACTTGACGGTGCTTATTGTGCCAGTGCTCCGTAAGCAAAGGATGGTTTCGGCCAGCAATGAGGAAGATGTTGACTCTCAATAGCGTCCGGCAACGAACCGTCACTCAAGATGGGCTGCAATCGGTCATGGCTTTTATTAGTCGACTCCTGCCGAGAGAAGCACACGCATCCGAGCGGAAGCAAAAAGTTTGAGACGCAAGGACCGGCCCTGAAGTTGAGAAAGTCCAGAGATGGGAAGTTTCTGAAGCTTTGCTGTTGGAGTTTTGGGCTGGGTACAAAGGGAGCCGCAGCTCAAAAGAAGGCATTTAGGGGAGCTTTTCCAAACCGCTGCCATGCCTAAGCCCTCAGCGAGCTTGGGCCCCCCTCAAAAGGCTTTGCTTTTGCGACCCAGAATGTGGGGTCATCCGGAACACTTCAGGCCTTGCCGATGGCATAAGGCATGGGCATGGCAAAGAGGAGGTTATTGCACTGCACCTGGATGGAGCAAGTCTTCTAAGCAGGGAACGCGAGGGAACAGCCAACCTGGTACACGGAAGCTTCGATAACTCGGTGTCCTGTCAATGCCTTGGTCAAAGGCGAGAGGTCTTTTGGATGCATTCCCTACAGGGTGCCGAGCTAAGGGTGCTGGGCCAACGTCAGCTAACGCAGATCTTGAATGGCTTCGGCGATTTTGGCCACAAGCAAAATCACCTGAGGGACCTCACCTAGCACATAAATGTCAACTGAATGTCCTGGACGATTGCGGCCATGGGCAGATTCAAGCCTAAATACAGGTCCATGAGGGTCGTCCAGAGCTCTATTGCTAAACGTATCAGATTTTGTGGACGTGTGGGGGGGGGTCCAACCCGCTCAATGCCCTGGATTTGAGGCCTTGAGGTCTGTTCTTATCGTTACAAGGTTGGCTGCCTTGACAACTGTGAGGCTTCATGAGGCAGGACATGGCAGGATCATGTGAGCCGCCGTTGCTTGGTCCCTGATTGGGTGAGCTTTCCTGAGCTTCACGCGATGTTGATAATCCCCTGCCTCACACGCCATGTGCGCCATGTTCCAGACGGCTGGGACGTGTTTTCTGCATGCGAATGCATACTTCTCAATTGGGCTCCGCACGCGGCAGGATACACGCCACCGGCGATGAAAAAAGTTAGGAACAGCGCGGGCCTGCACTGAAACCGTCAAACCATCCACAATCATCGTTGCATTGAGAACATGCGCCGCGCCAGAAGCAGGAGCTGGGTACGTATGGCAGCAATGCTGCAAGAACTGCCGCCATACTTGATACAGATGCCAGGAATATCAACGTCCTGCCAAAACTTGCATTTGCTTTGCCATGCTCCTTCAAGGGGGGCTCTTAAACAGCTCCTTCTGTGTTGGCTCCACTTGTCCGGTTGCACCACGCTGCCCGACATTGCAATGCTGCCACCTGCCCACAGGATGGTGCCCACAGGACGCGCAAAAATGGCAAAGCAATTCAACAAGACTCTACGCATCTTCCAGCTTTGCTCTTACACGCACCTAAGGCGGGGCCAATCAGCGCAATACCCTAAGCATTGCACAAGCAGGGCACAGTGAAGCGCAACGTGGTGAATGTGCTTTGCAGCCGGCAGAGAAGGTGCAAAGAATCAGGTGGAGGCCAAAGCCCAATGACCTCAAAACCATGACACCCGAAGCAAAAGGGCAAGATTTTGCGTAGGTCGGCGGCGTAGCGTAGTCGCGAATGACATATTTACACCTTGCAGAGAGGCACAACAAAAATAGGACAGGGAAACAAAGAACGCTTGTCTCAGCAACCTCTCAGTACATTCCCAGTTTCCGGCCCGCCCAGGAACCCCAGCTGCGCTGCAAGCGACACATTGGTCCCCCAGTACCTGAATCGAAGGCAATCTGTTTACGTCTAGGCTCAACACCTGGAAGAGCTTTAAGCTTCAGACACGCCCCATCGCTCTGTGCTGGGGTACTCCACTTCACCTGATAAAGAACGGCGGTGTCAGACCAACACTCCAAAACAAACGGGATGCGGGCTTGCGGGCTTCTCCTCCTCACCTGATAAACGCCACAGCAGGCAGAGAGCAAAGCATGAAGTCTTTGATTTGTGGCTCGCGCTGTCCATCCGCTTTGTTGAACGGTCTTCTGACAGGTCTAGGTAGCCTGGCTGTTGATTCGTGAAACCGCTATCATTCACCATGGAAAATCATGGAAACCAGCAAGGAGGGCGGCGCCCGCCGTAGGCCAAACACAGCAGGGCAGTGCCACCAAAGACCAAAGCTTGCCCTGAACGGCAGTTGTCCCCGTCGATTTCTCACTGACCTTCTTCAGGGCCTGCGAAAGCCCAGCGCCAGTGAAGTCCAGCGCTCACTAACTCCTGGGAGATGGAAGGGCTTCGGCATGTTCAGCCCCCTGCTCAGACTGCACCTGTGCCACGATGAAGCCGACGTTTTCACCAAGGGGCACCATGGCATGCAAGATCGCGTTCCAGACCTATCAACTTGTTGAAAAGCCCGGCTCTGACCAGCGCCTGGGCCAGCGAGGCTGCCACATTCCAGTTGTGGCTGCCATGGCGAGCCAGCCACCCCTTTCCAAGTAAAGTTAAAGAAGTCAAAGAAGTCCGCATTCCGAGACCGCAAACTCTCCTGCAAGTAGGGAAGAAAGGGCGCTTCAAAGAACCCGACGAGGAAGCGAACCTAAACGGGCCATCCACAAATTACTGAAGTTCACCGAGCAAGTAAACAGCACCCTAAAGCAAACATTAGTAACTCGAAGGTCTTCACAGGTCAGAACCGCATAAATCTGGTGCAGCGTGATACCCGGCACTGTCATCAGCAGCATGGCCTCCGACCATTCCGAGCTGCTGACTACAAAAAGAAAGCATGTCACAAATATAAGTGCGGAGCTATAACGTCGAGGAATGTGCAAACAACGACAACATTGAATTCTCCAAAGGTCCTGTCATTGCAGAGTCCAACAAACTGCGTCATGCTCCCGCGAACCGGCCTGCAAGCCCATGGTGTGAGGGGTAAGCCCAAGCACACACCCACCATCACCCACCTGTCTCAAAAAGGAACCTTTCTGCCACGGCAAGAAAACTAAACTCAGACTGGCGCGATCCAAGGGCCAAGTTCATGGCCTTCGAGTTCCTCTCATTGCACGAGCTCGGGAGCTGAGCTGCTGTCACATATACATGTACGTATACACATACACAAGTGATGCTGGGATTGAAACAGATGGTAATTCGATTTGTGAAAAACCCAAAAAACCTTCGCTTTAAAACACGAAATTCTGGCAGTTTCAACCTCTTTCGGTTGATTTGATGATTTCCTCCTCCCATTTTCTCTTGGTTTTGCATGCCTGCTCGGTGTTTTTACTATGATTTCAACTTGGTTTTTTGAAAGGCATCTTGGAAGCCAAAGAAATTAGGGTAGCAGATCCATATATGTTTCAAACAGGGATGGTTGGAGTGTTACAATTGCTGCTTCAGAAAGCCAATTAGGTGAAAAAGGACGGGCTGCAGAAAGAGTCCCAAGGAGGGTAGACCCACGAATCAGCTCAAATGTAACGGATCAGTACGTGGTGCGAGCTGGATCAAGGGCGCCCGACGTATCGGATCAGGGCAGGGTCGAATCGGATAACACGAATCGGATTAGTAAGCCCGATCAGCTCCACGGATCACGCGGATCAGCGAACAGGAACGGGTGCAAGTGAAACTTGGGTCCCTCGCTCTCTGTCAGGTGCACTAGCTCGCGATCACGCAGTCATCAGTGGATCAAAATGCCGGGAAGCCTTGTGCATTAAGGGTCTGTAGCTCCGCCTAACCGAGCCTAGCCATTCCTGTCGCACTTGTTACCTGGGATTCGCTGCAACCTCTTGGGCACCTTCATCCAGCTACCTCGCTTTCATGGTAGCGGAGCCTTGCCGAGTGTAAGGCTCCACCGATCTAGGGCAAACCTTTCTTTTGGCCTCAATTGTGGGGAAACAGCTGGGGAACAATGAGCGTGAACGCTGGAGAGGCAGCAGCAGCGTCGACGGCAACAAGCCGGACGAAAGAAGGTGTGCCGACTTGGAACGGAGAAGCCAATTCTTTCGTTGCCTATGAAGAGTCCGCACTCCTATGGGAGCAAGCGCTGGCATGGGAAAAGCACTACACAGCAGGCCCCAAACTGGTGCAAGAGCTTACGGGCGCTGCCCGGAGGCTCGTGGCAGGGCAACCTGCCGGATGGGTCGCCTACCGGGGAGGCGTGCAGGTGCTCATGGATCATCTGCGGAACGCCTTGGGGAAGCCGAGAGTGAACGAAGTTACGGATTTGTTGGCCACCTACTTCAAAGGTTGCAAGCGTAAGAGTCATGAATCCATGAATACTATGTGACCAAGAAGTTTGAGGCCTACTATCGTGCAAGCCAAGCCTTGAAGAGAGTAGCTCCTCATTACACCCCGGCTTCAAGCACCCCGACCTACGAGTACCCCTCCTGGAGCAGAAGGTCAAGTGTGGAGTCCACCTGGACTCGCAGTGGTCCCACTGAGGCGGAAGCAGCGGAGGACAGGCCACCTCAATCGCGAGGGCGGCTCCTTCCACGAGATTGGGAGGTACTCCTTCTGGATGCCAGGCGTCCCGTAGAGGGAGCGGTAGATCAGGGCCGTAAATCTCCGGCAGGGCGGCGCTAACCACACCAGACACAGGCCTGGAGTTTCTAACCAACGCGACACCAAATTCTGGTGACTTTCCTTGGTCAGATCCAGAACAAGGACCTTTCCCTTTCTTTCAGGATGACTCTTGTTGTCAACGCCAAAGGATCCCGACAGACCCTTGCTAACTAGGACTGCCGTGATGCCAGCTGTCCCCGCGAACAGCTCCAGCGCCCAAAAATCCTGAACAAATTTGTGTGAATTTCGAGGACGTCCGTCCTCACTGCCTGGCTCGTCTTCTGCCTTTGCGTATCCGCTTGCGACACTGCTTCAGCAGACGTCTCATCTGGGACTGTGGAGAGGGGGTCCTCTCCACGCACCTCTGACTGAGGCTCATCACTGGGTCCAAAATTGTTGCCTAAATCTGCAAGGCTGTTGCTTGCAGAGGCAGATGCGAAAGATTGAGGCAGCGGCTTGTCATCTGTCAGCTCCTCAAACGATTCCTCGTCTTCGTCCGCTGACTCTGAGGCCGCGACCGCCTTTCAGTTGCCTGGCTTGCTGCGCTGAATGAAGCTACGCTTCTTGAAGCAGCCTGGCGAGCAGCACAAGTGCCATCCCTTGGCGCATTTGCCCCCCAGCGGGGCATCGTGGCATTCTCCTAGACTGAATCCGAAACATAATGGTTCACCATCAGGCGTTGCGGACACACCGCCCCGCAACTTGGCCGGCATGGGAGGATCACGGTTGTACGAACCGGCCCATTGCCAGGATCCTTTCCTCCACCCTTTCCTTGTCCTTTCCCTTTCTCCTTGGTCTTGCCCGCCGGCACCCTTGCCCCACTTGGCGGGTCTTTCAATGTAACTGTCCGCAAAGACCCATGCGCTTCCTCTCTTCCATCCCCCGCCTTTCCCTTTCCTTTGCCCTTGTCGTCCTGCCCTCGAGGCAGGGGCATGAGCTGGCGCGCCACCTCAACACTTTCCATGAATGACTTTCTCAAACTCTGCATCCAGGCACCTGGCTGTTGCGATCGGCTCGTTGGGGGCCGACCTGGTCAGCTTGGCCTGCTTTTGAGCCAACTCCCATAGGGTGCGATCTGCCCTGAGAATCCGCTGTAAAGTCGTAGGGCAGTAGCCCGGAATGGGCGGGTCTGACATGCGTGCATATGCCTTCTCGTTATTTTACACACTTTGTGCGCTTGAGCCAAACACGTCACGTGCTTGACAACTTTGGTTGTGTCCTGGTCAAACCAAACATGCTTGCACATGCTCTTCATGGCTCACATGAAACTCTGTACTAAATCACTATACA